ACACGTCGGGCACCCAGCTCCAGCGCCATCTTTAGTCCGGTTATAAGAGCCTCATATTCAGCCTCATTGTTTGAGGCCTTAAATTCGAACCTTAGCGCATAATCAAAAACATCGCCATCCGGGCTGGTTAGGGTCAATCCAGCTCCGCTTCCATTTTGATTTGATGATCCATCCACATACAAGGTCCAACAACTTTCCATGGGCTCTTCGATGTTTGGCACCACATCGCTTGGTGGAGGTGTATGCTCGTCTCCCGTAGTACACTCTACCACAAAATCCGCCAAGGTCTGGGCCTTAATAGCCGTCCTTGGTCGAAACTGAACATCAAATTCGCTAAGCTCAACGCACCACTTCACCAGCCTCCCAGAGGCTTCCGGCTTCTGTAAAATTTGTTTTAATGGTTGGTCTGTGAGTACAACCACCATATGTGCTTGGAAATATGGTCTCAACTTACGAGCTGAGATAACCAAGGCCAATGCCAACTTTTCGATCTTAGGATAGCGAAGTTCTGCGCCTCCTAGGACTCGACTCACATAATAAATCGGCATTTGGACTCCATCTTCTTCTCGGATTAGCACCGAGCTTACAGCCGCATCCGACACTCCCAGGTATAAGTATAACACCTCTCCTTGTTGTGGCTTCGTCAAAAGTGGTGGAGAACCCAAGTAAGATTTTAGATCCTCGAATGCTCTCTGACAGTCTTCTGTCCAAGCAAACATATTTGCCTTCCTTAACACTTTGAAAAATGGTAGGCTCTTTTCTGCACATTTTGACAAGAAACGACTAAGTGCAGCTAGTCTCCCGGTGAGCCTCTGAACTTCTTTCACTGACTTAGGAGGATTCATATCCAACAACGCTTTGATTTTCTCGGGGTTCGCCTCGATTCCTCGTTGGGTAACCATGTATCCCAGAAACTTTCCCGAGGTCACCCCAAAAGCACACTTGTTGGGATTGAGCTTCATCTTGTAATGCTTCAATACTGCAAAGGTCTCCTCCAAGTCAGCTATGTGGTCCTCCGCAC